TTTTCATAATATGCCACATACAAAACCTATGTTCTGTAGTTTGAAAAACATTACGAACAGCAACTTTCATTGCAGGGTCTTGATCGGTAATCAAACACACAGGCTCGTTATTTCCCATTGCTTTAAGAAAAGTTTTGAAAACCCATTCAAAAGATGATATATCCTCATGAGCTACAAAAGAAGCCGCAAAAGTAACACATTTTTTATGATGATCAACTCCAGTAAATGGACCAAAGATCATATTATATCTGTAACATACACAAATTATTTATGCAGAAAATAGAGGTAAACTTTAGAACATAGAGGTAAATTGTAGAACATAGAGGTATACTTTAGAACATTAAGGATAAACTTTAGAGGATAGTAATTTAATTTAATTATTAAACGTGGCAGTAATATAGTTGTTTTAAAACATAATGAATTACTCTAAAACATAAACACTAAACTAAAAATATACAATGTAGCTTTAAAAACTTATAAGTAAACTTTAGAACATATAGACATAATGTTTAGAACATGATGGATATTAGTTTAGAACACAAAGAATAAAGTGTAAAACACAAAAGCATAATGTTTAAAGCATAAAAGCATGATGGATATATTTTAAAGCATAAGGTAGAACATTAGCAATATATGTTTAGAACATAAGGCATACATAGTTTAGAACATAAAGAATATTTGTTTAGAACATCAAAACATGATGGATATTTGTTTAGGAACACAAGGCATGATATTTAGAATATAAGAACATATGTTTAAAAAATTAATATGTAAAAGTAAAATATTAATTACATTATGAAAGAAATTTATATTTAAAACATCACCTGTTTGTTTTGAATGTGGTATCAAAAGAAACCATATCACCAAAAAGTGCATAATTTTTTCGACAGATTGGATCAGCCCATAAAGCTCTACAAAGTCTATCTTCTTCATTAACATCATAGGAAAAAAAAATGCACTCCAGAGCAATTTCTTATTTTGAAAATTATCCACAAACATTTGGGCATCTGATCCATCAATAAAAGCCTTCAAATCTCTATAAAAATTTTTGAAATCTTGTTTAGATGCACCAACATTATCATGTGATCCAGCTAATTCTTTCATCATAGTATAAGACCTCACAGGACCAACATTTACCTGTTAGAAAAAAAAATATTACTAAGATTAAGAATTAACTTTAGAACATAGTAAATCAAAACAAAAAAAAACATTATTTAGTACATAAAAATAAATCACCTTTGAATTATCAACAATCAACTTTTTATGCATAATATGCATTTTTCTATTATCCTTCTGAAATTTTGCACAACTTGGAGTATATAAAGGATGATTATGTTCTTCTTTGAAATGAGTTACAACATACTTTCCAGCATCATATCTCATACATATGTGAGCATTGCATCCTACACGAGTGACTAAACGTTTTCTAGTAATACGAACTTTTCCTTCTTCATAAACTGTTTGTTGAGCAATAGGTTTTCTTATTGCCCTAAAACCTTCCTTATTGCAAACTCCATATTGAAAAGCAATTATATCTTTGTTATTCTTCTTCCTTTTAGTAGTAGATTTCCTAGAAGTAAACCCAGCGGCATTTGCATATGCTTTATAAAAACTAAGACCCTCTTCAGGATCTTTAAATATCATCCCCAAACTGGGTTTTAACTCCTCGGGAACACTTGGAATCCATTCCTTAGTGGTACCACCAGGGCTAAATGATCCAACAACCTCTAGAGTACGATAAATATCACCAACTGCATTAGAACATGAAAGTAAACATTAGAACATAAAAATAAACTTTATAATATAAAGAGAAAGATACATAAAAAACTTTAGAACATACAGAGAAAACTTTAGAACATCAAAGATAAACTTTAGAACATCAAGGATAAACTTTAGAACATATAAAATCAGGGACATACTTATAACATAGTGAATTACTTTATAACATACATAATAAAATTTACAATAAAGTGAAAAAATTAAACTAGAAGGTTAACTTTAGAACATACAATGAAAGTAAACATTAGAACATAAAAAGTAAAATTTAAAATTAGAAGGTAAACTTTAGAACATAGAATGAAAGTTTTAGAATATAAAGAGAGAGATATATAGAAAACTTTAGAACATACAGAGAAAACTTCAGAACATTACAGATAAATGTTAGAACATAGTAAAGAAACTTTAGAACATGTAAGTAAATTGAAATTAAAACATTGAAAACAATAAAATTACCTGAATGAGTAACACAGGAAGAAGGATAATTAGGTTGCACACCATCTAAATCCATCAATATGCATAAACCTATTTTGAAAAACACAAATTGTAGCAAAAAAGCAACCAGAAATTAAAATCCATTAAAAATCAAAAATCTGGAAAACAAAATAGGATAAAATCGAAAACGATGTTGAAAAACTCAAGCAAAGGAAAAAAACAGAAAAATCTGGAAATAAAACATCTGGAAATAAGCAAAGGAAATAAAATCTAGAAATAAAATTTGGAAAAATCTGGAAATTGAAGAAGAAAAAGAAAACTAGAAAACGAAATTGATGAAATTAATGAAAAAACTCAAACAATGCTCTACCCGTTGAGCTAGTAGGCTAATGTATATAAAACACTTGAACTAGAGGAAAAACTACTAACAACTATATGAGATAATCACAAAAGTAATTTTTTTTTGTTTAATCATATCCTTTTGCACTTCTAAACACTATCTTTAGCATCGTTTATTGTAATTTGATGATCGATTACTTGCATTAAGGTGGGTTCATTATATTGGCTATATAATCAATCTATCATTAGTAGTCCTTTAAAGCAAAAGTTATCCCAAGTTAAGACTAGTGCTAATTAAACAAGCTTTGACAAACATGCTAAGATTGTCTACTTTAGAACACAATGAATTACTTTAGAACATAAAGAGTAAACTTAATATATGCTAAATAAAAGTTTAGAACATGCTAAGATAGTTAAATAATAGTTTAGAATATAATGAATTACTTTAGAACACAGTGAATTACTTTAGAACACAAAGAGTAAACTTTATAACATAGATGGAAAATTTTAGAACATAGAAGGAAAACTTTAGAACATCTTGAATTATTTTAGAACATAATGAATTACTTTATGTTCTAAATTTCCTTATAACATAGTGAATTATGTTCTAAATTTGATTTGCTTAGAACGTAGTAAATTACTTTATGTTCTAAATTTGTTTAGAACATAGCTATGTTCTAAATTTGCTTTTGCTTAGAACATAGTGAACTATATAAAATCTAGAAATAATAAAATTAAAAAAAAAAGGAAAAGGAAAAACCACCACCACCCTTTTCCTCTTCCCAGCCACCAAATTTGCCGCCGTCGCTACCCTAGCCGCCACCTAACCTTTCTCTACCCAGCCAACCCTAACCTCGCCGGTGAACAGATCCCCTGTGCCGGGGACCCACCCAGCCTCCCCACCCCCCTTTTTCCTTTTTCCTTTTTCCTTTTTCCTTTTGAGAAAAAATTAACGCATCAAAATCGCAGCATACACAAATCGCAAAAAGCTGGAAAATTTTGAGAAAAAATCGCAGCAAATAAAACAGCATCGAAATCGCAAAAGAAAACCGAACAAAAAAAATCAAAATAAGAACAAACAATTCGAACAATCAAACAATCGAATTGATAAATAATCGAGCAAAATAAATATACATCGAATAGAAAATCGCCAAAAACAAAATCGAATAGAAAATTCGCAAAAAATCGCAAAAATATTGACGAAAACATGAATTAATCAGTAAAAATCGAACATAAATCGCAGCAAAAATTGAGAAATAAACGCATCAAAATCGCAGCATACAAATCGCAAAAATCAGGGAAATATTTGAGAAAAAATCGCATAAAAACGCAACAAAATCACATCAAATTGCAGCAAAAAATCGCATCAAAATCGCATAAAATTCGTAGCAAAATCGCAGCAAAATATTCGCTAAACAATATTGAGAACAATTACATAGAAAATGCTCAAAATAATCGCATGAAATTAATCGCATCAAAATTGCATGAAAAATCATTAAATTTAAAACAAATCTGATTATAAAATTAATAAACTTACAATAATTAATCCAAAATCTGTGAAAATATCGTGATGAATTTGATGAACTTTCGCCAATCTGTTGAACTGAGGAGAGGGAGAAAGCTGAGAATTTTAGAGAGAGAAAGCTGAGAGTTGAGAAACATAAAATAACTAGATGAAGGAAGAGGAAAAAGAATTTGAATAAACTCCTTCAAATTACAAAAATGTCATTACTAATCATTCATTTTGAGCGGTCAGATCAAGCTAATTCCACGGTCCAGATTAGTTCTTATATATAATGGGTTCTTATATAGAGGAGGGTTCTTATATGAGCCTTCCTCTATATATATATATATATATATATATATATATATATATATATATATATATATATATATATATATATATATATATATATATATATATATATATATCAATTCATTTTACTGATTTACTTGCACTGTAATTTAGTTTATTGCCCGTAAAATATAATTCCTGTAATTCGGAAAATAATTCACCAGACTATTTTAATTTTAATTAATTTGGAAGAGTTTTATTGAATTATTTGAGGTTGTTCATTTTTTTTTATAAAAATTTCAATCAATATAGTCTAAAGTCCTTGATTTTTAATTTTAATTTTAAAAGGTGACTCTATTTTCCGGGAAAAAGTCAGGACACATTGACACTATTTCCTAGAAAAGTCAAGTTTTCAAACATTGATTTTTTTTTTTTTTTTTTTTTTTCATAGTATATTGTAAAATTAACAAATTAGTAGTGTGATTCACTTCCTATGCAAAATGAGCTTTACAATTTCAATTACTGACATTATGTAGCATCATTGGTAATCTAATGTCTTGCATTTGAGTTTTATTGCTTGGTTTTAAAAACACATGAAACTAATTAAACAAAATAGTGCTCTGTATATTATAGTAATGAACGTCACTTTTTCAAAATGATCAAAGGTGTACAACCAGATGGCCGATGTTTGTTTAGAGCAATAGCTCACGGAGCTTGCTTACAAACCGGAGAGGGAGTGCCTGACGAAGACCGTCAGAGAGAGCTTGCTGATGATTTGAGGGCTAAGGTGGATTGTTTAAAAAACTAAATAGTAAAGCGGTTTTATGCAATAAATAAACAAAGTAATTAGTTGTTATAAACAAATTTTGGATCTTAAACATATTTCTTCTGTTTTCTTTATAGGTGGTCGAAGAGCTCTTAAAGAGGCGCAAAGAAATGGAAGGGTATGTTTCTTTCTTATTGCAAAAACAATTTTCTTTGAATCGTATCTGTGTGTGTAATCTTAAACTTTCATAGGTTCATTGATGAAGACTTTGATTTGTATGTTGAGAGGATTCAAAAGCCTTATGTTTGGGGCGGAGAACTGGAAGTACGAATGGCATCTCATGTGCTCAAGTGAGTATTTGATAACTTCTACTATTTTGCATGTGTAGTGTTTTGGTTGTGTGAAATTTTTTATATACTCCAGGGTGATTAATCCATCCAAGGTTAGTTTTTACTCTTTATTTGATGATTAAATGAAAAATAATTATTAAAATAAAAACAACATATTCATAGGTGCAGTGGGCACTCAGGTGTATATAATCTCTCACTTTATTTAACTTCAAATTCTTAAATATGGTGTTTATGGTAACAGGAATCTGATATCTGTCTTTATGAAAGATCAGAAGACAAACAAATTGACAAACATATCAAATTATGGGGAAGAATATAATGACAAGTACCCTATAAATATTTTGTTTCATGGGTATGGTCACTATGAGCTTTTAGAGAATTATTAAAGCCAATTTTTTAAACATGATAAGAAAACTATGACTAAAGAATATGATTTTAAAATTAATAAAGAATATCATTTTTTATACAGGCATTATAGGTGAGGATTTACTATTTCTTTGTAGAATATTTTGGCCACAAATGAAATCTATGAAATATATATAAACCTTTCGTTGGTTAATTATTATAGGTTATTAACTGTTGGTTCCTATGTTTGCTAATTAATTATTATTTCGTGGTGTACAACCAATAAACACTACTTTATGTACTCTATTTATTTAAATCATCAATACTTTTATCTTTTATTTCATTTTGTTCTATTTGATATAATAATTAGCATTGCAGCAGGACCTAAATATTGCTTGACACGTTGAGATTTATGAGGAAAACTTCCATGGCCCAACTAGAAATTAAACCTCAAACTCTCTACAGATCTTCCTTAACTAATCTCTTCGTTATAATAGGTCAAGTCACTCCCAGTTACAACATATTACAATCGGACCTTAACCTATCCTAACCAACTTAAATCCCATATTAAAAGTTGTTCCTAGCAGTACTCCTAGAGTATTTCTCTCTCCTCTTCACACAGTCTTTCATTTAGGAAGGCAAAGCTTTACTTTTTAAATAAGGCGAAACCCAACTTAAGGTTAGGGTGATGGGAAGACAACAAAAAGCTCTCTTATTGTAACTTAGATTTTCTTGAATTTTCACACCCCCAAAGCCAATTACAAAACAATGATTTAAAAACTAATATAGATTTGTTAGAGATATGAATATTTCATATTTCTAAAAAGATTCAAAAGCATCGCATGTAATCCGAAAATATCGGAAACTAATATGATAAAGCTTTTACTTGGCAAACTTATTACTCTTAAGTGCTTTTATGGTTTTCAAGCATTAAAGTCGCACTTTTCCTTGAAATAAAAAGCTCTTATTTATAATAAAAACTTGTGACTTCAAAGTAGGGTTTAGAAACAAAATGACAGATACCAAAAACCATTTGTATAACTTATATTCATCATTTTGACCAAACCAAGCAAGTTAATCTTTTAAAAGATCGAAAATCTTATGTAAAATCGTTAAGAAAGATAAGTTTACATAAGATGAATATAATAAAATCAGATTGTCATGTGTGTAGCTGGTCACATATAATAATTTGTGTAATAAAATAGATTTTATTCAACTAAATCCCTACTTAATCTTTTCCAAACAAAACAAATTTTATCTTATTTGATTCCACTTATATTATCGAATGTCTAGCTTTATCACGTTTTTAGTAAGTTACATATTAAAGCAATCAATCTTATGTATACATCAATGCATGCTAAAGTAATTACATAATACTAATCTCTATAAAGTCTTTGAATAACTACATTATTGAATTCTCAAACTCTGCATTGAGCATTGAATTGGATCTTGAGGCTTAGTTCCAATAATGAAACCACGTACTAGACTTTAATGATAATTTGTTGTTACATTTTTCAGCTCATTGCTGGAACCCGTGGTCCATGTTCTTCTAGAACTTGTTGTCATCTTCTAAGTTCGTTAACGAGATTATGCAATTTAAACCTATCTTATAAGCTTGTTGTGTACCCACCGAGACTCAGCATACATTCACGCCATGAACCACCACCCCAACCTAACCACCGCCCACGCTAAGCCACCTCCGTCCACTGCCAACCTTAACCCAAAATCCAGAAAATTCAACCCACAAAAATGAAATCAAATAAAATTCAAAACAAAAATAAAAATTAACAAAAGAACCCACAAAAAAAAAAAAAAAAAAAAAAGATCCAAAAAATTACCCACGAAAAACAGACAGAAATCAAACCCAAAATCAAAATTAACAAAAATCAAACTCAAATTAAAAACGAAAATAAAACCTAAAATGAAAAAAAATCAAACCCACACTAATTAACAAAAAATCAAAACGAAAACCAAACCCAAAATAAACAAAAAAAATCTTTGAACATAGATATTTCGAACAAAAAAAAAATCCAAATTCGAAGAAAAAATCAAACAAAAAAGTATAAACATGAAAATTTACCTCAAAACTTGAATTGACTTCGAATTTCACCTCGAATTTGGTTTAATAAGGCCAAATTCGACCATGAAAATTCTAGATCTAGACTTTTTATTGTCGAATTTGACCTTAAAAACCATTAACTTGTTTAACCATAAGCTTGTGACGATGGAGATCGTGGTGGTGACCGAATTTCCTATTCTTTTCGTGTGATTTTCGAACAAGAACAAAGAAAGAATCTATAAACCTATACTAAAGGCGAAACCTGGAATGACACTTGTCATTTCCTGGTTAAAAATTTTCCCGCCTTTTTTTCTTTCCTTTTTTTTTGCGATATTTTAATGACATTCATTTTATAACCTACAATAATAATTATTTCCAATTTAACAACATATTTAATCCCATTTTACTCAATTTTTTGTACATATATTTTATATACTAGGAAACTTTTAGTTACATAAATACTAAGATAGATTAAAAATAAGGTATTGTAATATATTATTTTCCAATATTATTATAATATTGTCAATATCAATTTTTTTTTCTCCAACTTTCATCATTTGACAATGAAATTTTTTTAATTAAAAAAAATATCATTTGGTAGCATCTATCTATAAACCTATACTAAAGGCGAAACCTGGAATGACACTTGTCATTTCCTGGTTAAAAATTTTCCCGCCTTTTTTTCTTTCCATTTTTTTTTGCGATATTTTAATGACATTCATTTAATAACCTACAAAATAGTTATTTCCAATTTAACAACATATTTAATCCCATTTTACTCAATTTTTTGTACATATATTTTATATACTAGGAAACTTTTAGTTACATATATTGTAATATATTATTTTCCAATATTATTATAATATTGTCAATATTAATTTTTTTTTTCTCCAACTTTCATCATTTGACAATAAAATTTATTTTAATTAAAAAAATATCATTTGGTAGCACAAATTATATAAATCTTAAAATTATATAACATTTATAAGAACAAAATCATTCAATTATATTATACATAACATATATTGGAAAATTTAATCTAATTACTCTAATATTTATATGATTTTTTAAAAAAAAAAAAAAACTCCTATTACTCACTAAAAATATATTAAAAAAGTTGATTACGAAATATTGATTATTCTAAAGTAAATTGAAATCAAATAAATTTTCATATTTATGTGAAAATGTATTAATAATTTAAGGATAGATGTATATTAATTCGCATATGGGTACAAATCTAAGCTAATATTTTAATTTTATTACATAAAACCTTATAGATTCTAAATTTCTATTATTAAATTTTTTTTTTACAATCCAATTCAATAACCTTTACGTATTTCAATATTTGGTATGAACTTAAATTCAAGTTATTTTGTTACAAATAATTTTTTTAGATAAATTAATGTTGAATTTACACTATTATTTATAATTTATTTGTTGTAAAATTTAATTATGACCGTGCATGGTACAGGACTTAACCTAGTGATGAAGTAAAAGAGAACAAAGGGAGGAGGAGAGGCGGTGAAGATGGTGACGGAGGAAAGAGCTTCAGACGGCGGTAAAAATGGAGGAGGAAAGAGAAAGGAAAAACAAGAGAGGAAAGAGAAGAAAGAGAAAGAGGCCGTGAGTGAATTAGGGTTAGGGAATGGATTGGATAACTTTTATACAGGATCTTTTTTTTTTTTTTTTTTAAAAAAAAGCTTTTGCGATCGTTTTGCAATTTACGACCGTTTTTTTACGGGCGAATTATTTTAAAAATATTCAAATAACCCTGCGACGTTTTAAAAGGTAAAAAACGGTCACAAATCTGCGATCGTTTTAAAAAACGATCGTAATTTTGTGACTGCGTTCAAGACGGTCGCAAAAATCATACTTTGCGACCGTTTTCATGACATTCGTAGAAAAACGGTCACAATTTCTTTCAGCTTCTTGATTAAGATCATCCTTCTGGAACTCTTCTTCTAATATACTTAGAAGACAACATTCCAATTTAGTAAGCTCTATTCCAAGCTACTCTTCAGCTCCCTGGATTTGCTTATGCCTGCAAACAATCTAACACTAGAGAAACCATTAGTTGAAGTTTGCTTAGCTTGTCATTATCAAAGCCTTACAACGTCAACAATTTAAACATCAAAACTTAATGATTTGAAATAAATAATAAGGTAATAAAAGATAATATTTTGTTGCTAAATGGGTCGCGATGCATCAAAGAAAGGGAGGGGATTGAGATGCCGAATGGATGTTTGAAATCAAAGGGTTTATACTCCTCTAAGAGACCTTTTAAAAGCTGCAAAACCATTTGATTGAATTGTTGGAGACCTTATCTCCTACTTTCTTCGAACTATCGGCAATATTTTTGAGATAAGTGCAATAAGGCTTAACACCATCAAATTGTTCAAGCTTTGTGTTTGTGAATTGAGCATCCAATTGTAATGCTCTAGCCAACTTGTTGTTTCGGAAGAAATTTTCCAAACGTTTCCAAGGATCAATCGCTTTATCATCCGAATCGATAATGGAATTGCGAATCGATAATGGAATTGAGTAATTAGGTCATTGGAGATCGTCCCATAAATCAATTGATAAAAAATATCATCAAGTCGTTGCCAGAAAGCTTGTTCTGCTGCTGTAGGTTCGATTGGTTTGGTCTTGGGATCAACTACAGGTGGAATAATATGATCGATAACCATATTAGCGCGGCAATGGAGTTGAAAGAGAGTCGACCAATTGTTGTACTACGAACCCTTGTAATCAAGCACAATAGGAATACACGCCTTGATTGGTAGCCCGATGAAGCTTTGGAAAATCGGCCATGAAAATTGATGGAGGTCAAAAATCAGGAAAGAATTGAAGAAGAAGAAGATAGATTAGGGTTTAAGAAAGAAACCTAGACTCGTGATACCATGAGAGAATATGATAAATGTTTGTTGTCACATCTCATTCATTAATTAATTATCAAAACAATAATAAATTGAAATTAATTAATTTAAAAGAAAATTAGGGAAATCTATTTATATCACACATTAATTTTGCCCATTTTGCTTAGTAGGTTATCTAATTGGGAACAAATGTGCCCACATAACCGAACCCAGGAATGAAAAACGCCAAAGATTGCAAGAATAAGTAGATGAAATAGTGGTTTCTCCCAAATGCAACATCATAGCATCCGCAGAAAAATAGGTAGGCTCCTACCATAAGCTCCAACATATTGATTCTGCAACCAAATTTTGTCAATGGGTTAACAAGTGTAAGTTTACAAAAATCTCAAGTTCTTAGGCATTTTAGTACTTTTGAACTTTTTTAAATTCATCACTTACATATTTCAATATGAAACTTTCACCACTAACATCATTAATTAGCTATTCGTATATATATATAAAAAAAATCAATAATTATATTTTTAAAATAGAAATTGTTAAATGAGAACATCTGTGTATTATATATTAAGTAAAAAATTAAGTTTCCTTAAAAAAAAAAGTAAAAAATTAAGTTAAATATTTAAAACTCTAAGGGTCTGTTATCTTACGTTGAAATTCAGTTCAGTTCAGTCAGTTCAGTTTAGTTCAGCTCAGTTCAGTTCAGTTCAGTTTAGCTCAGCTCCTAATTTCCTTCTTTTTTAAAATATTCATTTCAGTTTAGTTTAGTTTAGTTCAGTTCAGTTCAGCTCAGCTCAGTTCAGCTCAACTCTGTTCAGCTGAGTTCAGTCAATGAGAACATGCCCTAAGTGATGTATTTAAATAAACGGAGGGAGTATTGTTCCATTTTAAATATTTTGGTTACAATAACATTGTTTATAATGTGTTGCCGTTAATTGAGGAACTTCAAAGTTTTGTAAAAATTGTGTCAAAGTTTTTAAAGTTAGGTCCAAAGTTATGTAAGTTTATCAATAACATTATAGTTTTCAAATCAATTTATTTAATAATAATAATAAATCAGTAAATATTTTTTTTTTTTTTTTGAGGAATAATAAATCAGTAAATATAAAGAGAACTTACTTTTCTCCAATTCTCTTGCGAGGTTTCTTGAATGATTTAGTACTATTTAATTTGTTTTTTAGTACATCTCCTAATTTCTCTGTAACAACCCATTCGTTGACTCTCCCAGCTTCTAGTAGGCCGATAAATGTTGCTTTAGTTCGATGCAATGACATAACATTCTCAAATAGAATCCAAAACACTACAAGATGAAGGGATCTGCATAATAGTCAAATAAAACGCATTACATTAACCATTCTTATGAAAAAGTGCTTCCACAGTTAAAAATTTTAAAAATATATAATTGTGTCCAACTAAAAGAAAAAATAAACTCTCAAAAACATTTAAAAGTTTTTCCCACTTTTTGTTTCGGGATATTTCTTAAATTTCTTTCCAGTTTATTCATTATTTTGTACTCCATAAATATATTTTTTTTTCCTTTTTACACCTTCTATTGCACAGTCGAATTAACTCATTCAGCAATCAGCACCCTCTCATAAGTCAGAACAACATTGTATTTCCTAATACAGTAATGCACCCTCTTTCTTCTCAATTCCCTGAAATAAGTGTTGTTACATCCATTGAGAGGAACTTTAGAGAAACAGGCAGTATTGAGTAATCTAGTAAAAGATCATGTACATGTTAAAATTGACAGGGCTTATTTATTTATTTATTTATTTATTTATTTGGCCCAACATTCAATTATAATATTACCGTTGAAATTATATTAAGATTAAGTAAAATACTTCCTCTCTTCTACTAACCTTGCATCACTTGCTTTTTTTTTTAAAAAAATTCACAAATATTGCACTATTTCCATTTTAGAACAGATTATATTCCTATATACAGTGAAGTATCCTTCCATTTTTCCACTTATTTTTTAGTTTATGTATACATCACATGAATAATTTTGTATTTTTATCTTTATCTCTTTCTTTTTCCCACTATCAAAATTATTGTGCTGAACCTATATACTCTCTCCGTTTTTAAATACTTGCTCCACTTTCCTTTTCCGGCCGTTTTTAAATACTTGATCCATTTCCTTATTTGGAAAGATTTTACAATATTAAATTAATTTCTCTCGCCTAGTTGACCCAACATATATATATATTCTCTCTACTCCAGTTCTTCCACTACTTTTAATTTATACAATTTTTTTATGCTTCTACCCACCCCACTACCTCTATTTTTTATTATTTTCTCCAATTTCTCCTAAACTCCGCACATAGAGAAATGAAGCAAGTATTTTAAAACCGAGGGAATAGTGCAATAATAAAATAAGCTTAATAAATAAATTAAAAAAAAAAACAGAGAAAGTTTATGAAATGGACATTCAATAGGAAAATTAGAAGGTAAGTCAAACCTTGGGGTCCCAACAGCATTGAGGAGAGTAATAGTGGTAGGAATATAAACAGCTGCCCACTTTGGCACTTCTACTTCCGGGACCAAAACTGTTGCTGGTAATACAATGCAATAGAAAATGAAGGTAACAATGTGCGCTACTACTTTCCTAACAAAGAAGAAGCTGTATATCACATGAACCTTCTTCCAGAGTGACACTTTCTGCAATAATGTCAAGATACATCTCAAAATCATCACTAAATTTGGAAAAATAAATATATTGAACAATTTGCATGAATTATTTAGAATGACTAACCTTATTTGTTATGATTTCTCGTACCATTTTTCTAAAGAGATTAGCAGGGCCACATGACCATCTATGTTGTTGATATCGGTATGCTTTGAAGGTACTTGGAAGTTCATTTTTCACCTGGACAGAGTAAATGAACCATGATTATAGATCTCCTCGCTCGTCTTGAATACTTACGTACAGCAGTTGTGTTTGCATGTAACTTTACGATGTATAGATTGTAAATAGTACGTGAAATCTAAACAATATGGAGCTAATTAATACCACCTCCCCCTTGGTACTTTTTTTTTTTTTTTTTGAATAGACCTCCCCCCTTGGTACTTGGTAAGAAATAGTGGGGTAATTTAAGACAAATATATTAAAAAAATTACAAATGCTCTCAAACAAATAGGTGACATTTTGGTAAAATTTTGGATTAATTCTCATTCTCACCTTCAAAGCTCCCACAAACTAAATGCTTTGTACTAGCAATAATTTTTGAAAATTATACGGTGGTCGTTTGAAATATGACTATCATAATATTTTAATGATTATATAGGTCATAGTTAACGTTTTTAATCCCAGTAATTAATTATATTACTCTATTTTTTCTATAAAATATTATTATCAAAACACCTAAATCACACCAGTAGCACCCTCGAAACCCTTGCCTGTGAAACCCTTGGCTTAAATCCGCGACACCCTCCCTCTATTCCTTCCCACCATGTCGTGAAACCACTCGCGACACTGCTCCTTTCAATTCGCCAAAGCTCGAATCCACGAGAATGAAGGCGGTGAACGACGACCCAATCGGCGAGAATGATGGCAGGGAACAAGGGCGATGTAAGCTATGGTGGGCTGGTGATTGCGGGATTGCGGCGGAGGAGAGAGAATCCAACGATACGGGGGATGATACTTGGGTATGGTTGAACGACAATAAGGTCGACCTGGTGGTTGCGGGATTTCAGCGAGGTGGATGGTTGCAGGCTTGTGGCCGGGGAAGGAGGATGGTTTTCCGATGAGGATAGGGAGGAGGGGACGGGGCAGGGGAAGGGGAGGGGATGGGGATGGTGTCCCGGTGGTCAAATTTGGGAATGAAGGGGTGGCTGAAGGGAGGAGGGGTGGTTGGACTGATTTTTTTTTTTAGCCAATCATGTGTTGACATGTGGCATTTAAAAACAAAAAAAAAGTTTACCTATTCAGCAGGTAACCGGTTTTTGGGACTGTTGGATGAAAACACATCAAATAATTAGGATTATTGTAGAATAATAGATAGTTGGAATTATTGTAGGTAAATCGCCCATATTTGGGATTATTAAAGTGTATTTTTCTAAATATATATTTTATTAGTATCAACAAAATATTATTGATATCAATAGATTCCTTAATTTGTTAGCATTAAAAATGAAAACATCTATGCACTATATAACGCTAAGAGCATTATTAGATTCACTAGTGACTCAAATTATTATAGGCAAAGAATTTAGGATAATGTTATACATAACCCTTAGGGCTATAAATAAGCATATAATATCTTTCTTTTTTGGTTTAAGTTTAAAAATGTACAGTATGACAAAATCACAAAAATTCGCGCAAATTAATGTAATTAATCAATATACTTCATTAATACTCTTCTCTTTTAGCTTATTATACATAACCCTTAAAGTTATATTTATAGAATTTCGTATAATTTATATGCAAGACACACGTTAAAAGAATAGGTTAATGTAAAGTAACGAGAGGATAGAAATGAGTAATACCTTAAGGTCACCCACATAAACAAATTTCCAACCCTTAAGACTGGCCCGCACAGCCAAGTCCATATCCTCCACCGTTGTTCGATCTTTCCACCCACCAGCCTCATTGATTGCTGATATCCTCCATACCCCAGCTGTCCCTGCAACAATTACAACATCCATCATTATTTGTTATTACCATTTAATTTTATTATTATTTTCAACCTATATGTTTCGCCTTCTCTACAATTTCTTCCATTTATGACTTCCCTTTGTGATAATATATTCCACCATTTAAATTTATATATGAAGAATTTTTAAATACGGAATATAATATTATTATAAGTAGGAAAATAGATGAAGTTGAATAAAGAAAAAAACATATAATATACCATTGAATCCGAAGAAAGCATGGGTGGAGGACCCAACTTCTTGCTCCACTGTAAAATGGTAGTCTAAGGACATTTCTTGCATCCTCGTCATCAAGCATTCATCCGCATTCACTACATTTCAATTTAATTAATTAAAATTAAACCGCAATCAACAAACACAATAAAATAAACTTTGCATGCATGTTCATTTTAGCAACTAGTATATTTTTTAATCTTTCAACAACTTTTATACGTAGCCATTAGCAAGGCATTTTAAGAGGGTTAATTTATTTGTGTTATAGGGCTTACTCGGTCATTATTACAGGCATAATATCATTAATATTATAAAGATTACTTGGTCAGTTACTCGATCACTATTAAAAAGGTTACTCGGTCACTATTATAGGAATTATTTTGTTTATTTAATTACAAATGGTCACATGGTGTGACTATTCAAACCCAAAATGCGCTGTAATTTTTTAACAAGACAAATTAACAAAAAAAAATAATGAATGTTGTTATAAAGTTTTATTTCTTTATTTTGTTATCTTAAATTGTGTATGTATTATTATCCTTAAAATAGTCCTTATTGCTGTAAATAAACAGTAGTTAGAGTTTTCATGTTTATATTAATTAGTATTGTACCATGCAACCATGTGTATTTCATTAAAGGCATGCTACAAGACTTCTAGTAATCAATAATAACTACTTGTCGCCAAAAGATATAAAAAATATATGAAGTATATACAACAAAAAATTCACAAAATAAATCATACTTGAAAACGAATAATTCAGACCAACCAATAAATGAAAGTAGGAATGTTATTGGAGGAGTGTTTGGGTAATGAATATTTTGAATACCACTATGTATACCTTTTGACATCTTTAATGATCTATTAGTTAGTATACTACGGAGTATCTTCTACTATTTGCATGGTCATGAGCTTACGAAGTTACAATAGATTACAAATTCGAATTTTACTCCGATTAATTGTAATGTCAATGCCGTTCAAAAAAAAAAAAAAAAAAAAAAATTGTAATGTCAATGTAACTTTAAAAAGTTAAGATTTACACTCTAAGTCTCTGGGATTTAATTTAGGGTTTTTCTATATAGTAACCCTGTTTTTTTCACTTTTCTACGTTGTACCCTAACATATATCACTTTCTACACTGTAACCCTAATATATTTTTTGTTTCCATACGGTAACCTTGCTGTTATTCTGCCGTTAAAAAATTCCGTTAATGGGGCCCACTCTTCATTATTAGTATTTTTATCAATAGATTTGCGGGTTGAAAAATACTCCGTCAAAGATTTCGGGGGCTATTTTGGGCCTTAGGGAACCAAATTGAGCTCAGATTTGGCAAAAAAATAACGTAAATGTCTCGTTTTGCTTATTTAGAAATGTCTCGATAGACATTTACGTTATTTTTTTGCCAAATCTGGGCTCAATTTGTTTCCCTAAGGACCAAAATAGCCCTTGAAACCTTTGGCGGAGTATTTTTCAACGCACAATTCGATAAAAAAATATTAATAATGGAGAGTGGGCCCCACTAGCGGAATTTTATAACGGCAAGGTTACCGTATGAAAACAAAAAATATATTGGGGTTACAGTGTAAAAAGCGATATATGTTGGGGCACAATGCAGAAAAGTGAAAAAAAAAGGTTATATATAGAAAAACCCTTAATTAATTTACGACTCTTTTCAAGTGAACCAAACTTTAGTTTAAGATATTGCAGTTACTAAAGGATACAAGCAAAAGTGTATTATTATAAAGTGAAATAATCGGACCACTTTTCTGGAATCACAGAGTGCATGCCTTTATTTTCTCAACCACAAAGGAAGTTAGCAATGGAAGAAAAAGAGAAAAGTCATAAAGATCACCCACATTGCAACACATAATCTCTTCCAAATAAATAAAATCCCAAAAATAAAAACAAAATCTAAGCACCGACAGTCTTACAAAATTCTTAACTCATTGCATTGTCACATCTTATAAAGTATCATCATCAGCCCACCTTTAGCTGGTCACTAAAGTAGTTGGCTAGTCTGTATTAATCACCAAGATCATTAAAGTATACACTAATAAATCTTTATTAGATTATCATGCGATTAATTACGTGTACTAATTATATCATCATCATAACATTATATTGTACGTATGACAATTAAATAAACACTTCATCATGTTTATTGAACAAACTAAGCTTGGTTTTGAAATACTGTATGTAAGTAATTTATTTATTTATATATAAAGAAAAAGGATCATACTGAACTAGTTACGCAAGAAATCCTTACTCTAAACTATAAAAGAATTTGGCGCAAATGTATGTAGCAATGTGGCTAATTAAAATACTTATTAAAAATCCTAATAAAGTATTGGCATGCTAATAATGCGACAATTAAATATAATACTGATTTAATTAAATTAAAGAATTGAATTAATTAATGATGAGATCATACCAAACTTCCAACGAGCTTGAACTAGACCAATTTCAGGGTTATGAACAAGAAAAGGGATAGTTCGCCAAAGAAAGTCAGGCTCAGGTTGAAAATCAGCATCGAAAATAGCAACAAAGTCACACTCCTTAACATAATTATGTTTCATTCCTTCCTTAAGTGCTCCTGCTTTGTACCCTTTTCTGTTGTCTCTTATCTCATATTTTATGTTTATTCCTTTGCTTCCCCATCTTTGGCATTCCATTTCCACCATATTCTGTTTTATGTAATATTTTATGTCAAATCGTTACAAATAATATAAAACAAATGCAGTACAAACCTTATTAACTACATCATACAATATATATGCTAGCTAAATCTACACTTAAAATTTAATAATGTATGTTACACTACATATACAGTTAGTACTTAATGACCTTAGTGATTGGATCAGTCGAATCGTCTAGCACTTGGATTATGATACGATCTGATGGCCATGAAAGCCCACATGCTGCTCCAATTGATAACTGATATACCTATAATAAAAAATTAAAAAAAAAAACACTTATTATGCATTTTGACAATAACCATAGGATAAAAAGATTAAGATTAACTAACCTCTTTCTCGTTATACATGGGAATTTGAACAAGAACCATAGGGTAGTTAGAGTTGCCTAGCTCCAAATCATCCTTCAATGGTTCCCAATTATACCTTTTCTCGGGTTTTCGCCCGAAGATTTTAATCAGTGCAATAACAAACCCCATATAAACTCGTTCCACGAACAACATCAATGACATTCCTAAACAAACCGTTACTAATAACTTAAGTAACGGAATTAAGAGTGGATATTTAGCTTGATCCCAAATCAAACCAATTTGGCTAGTAATATCATCTAAATTTCCACGCTGATACGCCGAAATTCGATCCATTATTCAACCAAATTGGCTATCAATAAAGGATGAAAGCTAAACTTAGCTAACAATCTTCCAACTTATGGAAACTTATATTGTTAGTATCACAATTATATATGGCATACATACACTTTTGTAATGACTTTGCGAAAAGGGCACGTATTTTAGCTAAGCATAGTAAGTATATTTGTTTGGCTTGCGAGTTACGACTATCAAAATTGATGGGATTATGTCAGAGGAAGAAATAAAAGCAGAAAAATCGCTTGAGTGCTGCAGCATTCGAGCTGTAGATCATCAGTAATTGATGAGAAAAAGGGTGAATTTTTGGAGCTGCTAACTGAAGCAAAGGCAATAAAATGAGAAAGAATGAGTTTCTTTTTTGAGAGGATGAAAAACAGAGACAAAGAGAGGTGTGTGTTGAGCAAAGGCAATGAATGGCCTGACCTTTGGTGCTCAAGTACACAACTAACCCCTACTTGTGTAGATTCAAGAGTAACACAAATTTATTTATACTAGTACAACCATGCATATTATATAGTAATGGAAATAATTTTTTTTTTCTTTATATAAATAATAAAGTACTATGAATTAAGGCCTTTCACAAAAAAAAAAAAAAAAAGGTACTATGAATTAAGGAGATTATTAGAAATATAGCGCTTAAATGTACGTCTGAGCACATCGTTGCCGCTTATAAATAAATAAAGTAACCCTTATAATGGTGTTTTAGTATTTCCTGTAAGACTGACAGGGTAACCCCTATAAAACGCACAAAGTAGCCCTTATAACACTAATTGAGTAAACTCTATAACACTCACGAAATAACTCAATAATGGTTGAACACACTGATACACTATGTGACCAGCCACATAAAATTTGGTGTTAAACTTATACTGTTGTGCAATATAGTAATGAAAATGACTTTAAATCTACTTCTAGGAAGGCAGCATTTTGGAAAGCAGATTTAGGTGGTTGTTGGGTAAGATTTTCCGGCTTGTTCTTTCAAAGTGTAGAATACCGACCATATTTAGTGTTTTTTTTTCAGTTTAGTTAATTACTTTTTCCGGTATTTTTAATGTGTTTATTGCAATGTTTTTTTATGGTCAATTACAGTGGTGGATCCGGGATTTCCGAGATGATGAGTCACCATCAATTATTGATTGCTGGTTCTCCTTCCTTTTCTTTTAACCGAGTCAGTCCATTTTTTATAACTTTGTCATCATCCAATTGTTTTCAACCCCATTACCATTCATGGGTGTAAAATATCACAAAGAATCAATTAAATATCACAAAAAAAATTCAAATCTTGTTTATAATTAATTTCAATCCAAAAGTTACATAATATATACTTAATGTGCATTGTTTTTTAATAAAATGTGCAAATAAATTTATCTCAAAATATATTGTGCTTAAAGTTTGAATATAATGAGCATTATTATTTTATTTTTCTAGAATATCATATATATACCATGTCATTCTTACTCCAACACCATAAAAGAAGTACCAATTTGGCAATGATATGTTCAGTTTTTTTTTACCATGCATATATAGTTACATATGCATAATGTTTACATAGAATATGCATAATATTTTAACAATATGTGCAAACATTCTTATTGACTGGAAAGCATGAAAAACAAAGAGAACATATTTTAATTTGAGTAGAACCTGCAAATTAGATATACAAATAGGCATAATTTTATTAAATTCATCAAACATGTCTACAGCTACCAATTAGCGCTCAAATCAACTTTGAATCTCCATATAATTGACTAAATTTGTGCAACCAAATGTTATAATCTTCAATTTTCAACCGATTAAGCTGAATAATATTGATAAAAAATAGAGACATCATAATTTTTACAAGAGAAAAGAAGAAGAATGTCAAATAAAAGTGCACAAGGAGTGAGAATATATATATATATATATATATATATATATATATATATATATATATATATATATATATATATATATATAGGGGAAGACTCTTGTGAGAATTTTTCTTATGTGAGAATTTTTCATATGTGAGAACACTCTTTTTTTCTAAATTTTTACTCGTATGTTCTAAATTTTAAATATGATGTTCTAAACTTTTCCTTAGGTGTTCTAAATTAAATCAAATGTTCTAATTTAGTACTCACATGTTCTAAACCATAAATTAGTTAAGTTTGATGTCATAAATTTTAAATAACTTGTTCCAAAATTTTAACTTATATGTTCTAAAATTTAAAACGTGTGTTCTAAGATTTTTAATTATATGTTCCAGATTTTAAAACGTATGTTCTATTTTTTTTACACGTATGTTCTAAATTCTTCTATATTCTATATCAGTTTGTTCTAAATTTTTATTCACATGTTCATAATGTTAAGTCAGATGTTCTAAATTTTACTCATCTGATAAATTTTAAATAACTTGTTCCAAAATTTTAACTTATATGTTCTAAATTTTAAAACGTGTGTTCTAATATTTTTAATTATATGTTCCAGATTTTAAAACGTATGTTCTATTTTTTTTACACGTATGTTCTAAATTCTTTACTCACACTTTCTATATTCTATATCAGTTTGTTCTAAATTTTTATTCACATGTTCATAATCTTAAGTCAGATGTTCTAAATTTTACTCATATGTTTAAAATTTCATAAAGCAAATTTTTTAAATTTTTAATCACTTTCTAATTCTAAAATAAGATGTTCTAAACATATTACTCACACAAATGTTCTAATTTATTACTCATATGTTCAGAATTTTAATTTGAGTCACATGTTCTAAATTTTAACTTGCATGTTCTAAATTTTTACTCACATGTTCTAAAATTTTACTCACATGTTCTAAATTTTAAATCAGTTCTCATATAAGTATGAATTCTCACATATGGACCTATTATCACCGGATCCCTCCCCTATATATATATATATATATATATATATATATATATATATATATATATATATATATATATATATATATATATATATATGAACCAAGGTGAATAATAGAAAGTAGTAACTAATCTTAGCCATTGATCACACTTCATCTAATGGCTCACATTGCACCCGCTCTCATCAATGGCATTCTCGTAATTTCGTTGTTTTCAAACTTTATTTCGATTTTTTTAACTTTTAAGGTAATTTCATTTACTTTAACACTTATTTCATTTACTTTTACTAAAGTTTCATTTACTTTTGAGAAATGAAACTGGAAACTACTTTATAAAGTTAAAATATTATAAAAATGTCATTAATGACACGGGAAACATGTGAGCTATCCGATTAACATGATCTAAGGGTCTAGATTAGTTTCTAGTTCTTTTTTGAGCCTTGGTTCTCATCATATATATATATATATATATATATATATATATATATATATATATATTCACCAAATTGATTTCAAGCTAAAAATAGGACACAAAAATCCATACTACATCCAACTAGTACTTAAAAATTCAATCTTACAAGTTGAAAATATTACAAAAAAACATGTTACAAACAAGTAGTATTATAAAACTATTACATTAAGGGTCTGTTCTGATACGATTATTTTTAGTTCAGTTCAGTTTAGCTCAACTCTAATAAGTTCAACTCAGTTTAGCTCTAATAAGTTTAGTTCAATTAGCTCCTAATTTCCTTCACTTATAAAATATTCAGTTCAGTTCAGCTCGAATAAGTTCAGTTCAGTTCAGCTCTAATAAGTTCGGTTAAGTTTAGCTGAGTTCAGTCAATCAGTACAGACCCTAACTTTATGATTTTTACTTAATTGATATGCTGTGTGGGGAAATATTAAAATTGATTGCACAAATATAGGATATAAATAGAAGTAAGAAAAAAATAGCTCAGTTCAGTCAATCAGAACATACTCTAACTTTATGATTTTTTACTTAATTGATATGCTTTGTGGGGAAATATTAAAATTGGTTGCACAAATATAGGATAAAAATGGAAGTAAGAAAAAAAAAGTGAGATAAATGCAATAGCAGCATCAAAGAGACCTGTTATCTAAATAATTGGTCTCTTTGATATTTTTAAAAAGAAAAAACTCTGACACAGCACAAAAGCTCTTAGCTTGTAACAATAGTAGCATCAAATAGACCACCCATCTATAATAAGCGGTCTCTTTGATTTTTTTTTTAATTCAATTTTTTTTTTCTTTTTACTGTTAAGTCACGTGACTCAGTGTGCACCTAAATACATCCGCCAATGGTCAATTACATAAGCTTTAGCCTTAAACACTAGCTTCTGTGCGGAGTTTTAAGAGGTAAATATTACGGTATAATAATGGTATATGTGAGTAGTGGATGACATGTTGAAAAATCAAATACTACGTATGAAAATGTAAGATGTGAGAAATAATAAGGTATAGAGCATTCACATTTGTGGGTGATATTCATATTCTATATGTTATTTTATCTCTTGTCCCATGGTCATTTACATGCATATTTGAGCTTTTTGGAGCTACTTTTTGGAGATCCATAATTAATATTAAGGGATAATTTGTTATTGTTAATTATTGATATTGCATAATAATTTCTTGTTGAATTGTTTTAATTCTTTACAATTAGATTATGAATCGAGCAGATGTGATTTAACTGTAAAATTATAGCAATATTGAATTGAATCGAGTAGATGTTAATTTGATATTAAAGATCATTTTCAATAGGAACTTAGATCTAGTAAATTGCGAGAGCCTATTAGATATATGTTGATTAATAAATTGTGAGAGCCTGTTAATCATGTTATATGTGCAATGTTAATTATTGATTATTATGTATTATCTCGAAATATTAATTATTGGTGAACCTGTGAACCTAGGCTTTTTATTAATTGATTTCTCCCTACTTTTATTCTTCCCTACTTTTATTCTCATTAGTTTAATATCCTTCACAACAATTTGGTTACTTAATAGTTTAGATTAAAACATTTAATTAGGAATAAATTGACTTGTTTCCCTATGGTTCGACCCTACTTCCCTATCTACATTAGTTAGAGAACTTAGGTAATACTTTTGATTAGGTGATATGACTTGAGCCAGTTAAAATTTAGTGTTGTTGCCCGGGAAACGATTTTATTTTTATTTCTGATTGTTTTTGTAGTCTAAATTATTTTCTCCTATATCATAGAACGCAAGTTCTTTGAGACAACTTTCTCATGTTTGTTTGTTTAGTTTTGTGTTTATGCCCAGGGGTTCTAGTTCAGGTTACATTCCATTCAAATCCTGAAATCGAACGATCTTTTCATAGACAGAAGAAGTTTTACAGGCAGATACGAGACACTTCTGGAGGTAATCCACCTTTGGAACCCCATCCGATTCTAACGATTCGGAAGATTTTCAAAACCTAAATCAGAGATGACAACACCACCACCTTCTCCACCTCGCAAGCTCAGTGATTATTCGTATCCGTCGCTGACAGATTTTCCACACCTTACTCCTACTCCGGCCCTTGATGGAGCGCAATTTGAGATCAAGCCCCAATTTATTATGATGATAGAAAGGAAGCAATTCAGTGGAGCTAAGGGTGAAGATCCTAATCTTCACATTGCAGATTTCTGACAATATTGCAATACCATCAGGCAAACAGGGGTTACCCGTGACCAAATCAGGGAGATTCTCTTTCCCTTTTCTTTATGTGGAAAAGCTAAATAGTGGTTTAATGGTTTGAATAGAACTGCACTTGGTATAATTGACTGGGAGACACTTGGTTTGAATTTTTATAACAAATATTACCCTGCAGAGAGAACAACTTTGTTGAGAAGCGCAATTCAGAACTTTGCCCAAGAGCCAGATGAAACTTTATATAAGGCTTGGGAATGATTCAAGGATCTACAGAGAGAGTGTCCTCACCATAAATTGGCACAGTGGTAGTTAATTTAAGCTTTTTACAATGGGCTTGAGAATTCATCTAGATCAATTCTAGATTCTACAGCTAGTGGAAGGTTTATGAATTTAAATGTGGAAAATCTAGGTCAAGTTATTGAAGATATGGCAATTCATAATTCCCAATACGGGAATCCTAGAGGGTTTCATGATAAAGGAAAACATAGTGTTGATTTCGTATCCTTTTTGCAGGCTCAGTTATCATCTATTTGCCAAAAACTAGATAATATATAATCTTACTGATGTTCTTAATACTGTAGTTAATGTTTCTGCTGTCAATAATGCTAATGATGCTTTTTGTGAAAATTGTGGGATTGTAGGACATTGGGAGCAAGAGTGTAGGAGTTCTATTGAGCAAGTTAATGCCTTTCAAACCTATAGGTAAAATAACCCTTACTACAGCACTTATAATCCTGGCCTCCAAAACCATCCATATCTTTCGTACCGGAACACCAATGTACAAAACCTTCCACCTCCACAACAACCACAACAGCAACCACCACCACAACAGAAATACTACCACCCCAATTCTGACCTAAATAACCAATCACAAACTCCTCCATCTACTGACCCTATCTTGACAGAAATTAGAGGAATGTTAGCAAGCATGCAAAAGCATATGGAGAGTAGAGATGCACAAATTGATTTAATTACAGCCCATAATAAAATTGTTGATAATCAAATTATGCAACTTTCTTCTACTCTACAAAATCACCAGCTGGGAACTCTACCGTCGCAACCAATTCATCCTACAGATCATGCTAGTGCAATTACTCTAAGGAGTGGTTCTCATTATGATGGGCCTCCTATGCCCAAGGAGGATGAACCTGTTGCTAATCCCGATTCCCTTGTACTAAATGCTAATTCTAACCCTACAGGGCTCCAGGAAATAACTAACTCTTCTAATGTTTCTTCGTAGGGTAAATCTCAGGATTAGGGTGGAGATGTGCAAGGCCCTACTATCTAACTACCATTGATTAATAGATATCTAAAGAATAAGTTAGATAAGAAATTTGGTAAGTTCCTAGAAGTCGTCAAAAATCTGCAGGTAACAGTTCCTTTCACTGATTTAATCACTTAGGTTCCCGCATATGCTAAATTCAAGAAAGACATTCTGACTAGGAAGAGAGCCTTTAATGAGGTTGAGACTGTAGCTTTCACTGAAGAAAGCAGTGCTTTAGTACAAAATAAATCTCCACCAAAATTAAAGGATCCTGGTAGTTTTTCTATACCTTGTCATATAGGAAATGTTTTTATTGATAAAGCTTTATGTGATTTAGGAGCTAGTGTAAGTGTAATGCTATCGTCTATATGTTCAAAGCTTAAGATGAGTGATTTAAAGGTTACTAATATTACTCTACAAATGGCAGATCGTTCTGTTAAATACCCCTAGGTTTTTTAGAGGTTGTCCTTGTTAGGGTTGGTAAATTTTTTTATCCCTGTTGATTTTGTTGTTTTAGACATGGCTGAGGATATGGAGATTCCTATTATTTTAAAAAAGGCCCTTCCTTCTTACTGCAAGGGTCGTAATTGATGTGAAAAATGGAAAATTAACTCTCTCTATTGGTGATGATAATATTACATTTAATTTAGAAAGAGTTATGAAAGGCCCTATGTTAGAGGAGAAGTGTTATAGTATTGATGTCATTGGATTTTATATGCCATGACAACTTACTTCAGGTTCTCTCATGAGATCCTTTAGAGGAAGTACTATGTTGTGAACTTGGTGCAGGTGACGGTGATATTTGGAGCAAGTAGGTGGATGAAATTGAGCAAGCTCTATCAAATGACCAACTTAGCCCTGATGAGAATAGTAAGGTGCAAAATTTAATTCAAGAATCATACTCTACGGAGGTAAAGAAACCTGAACTTAAACCTCTTCCTTCCCATTTAAAATATGTATTTTTGGATGAGCAGGAACTGCACCCTGTGATCATTAGTACTGCATTCGATGACCCACAAACTTCCCAACTTCTAGAGGTTCTTCGAATCCACAAAAGGCTATTGGGTACAGTATTGATGATTTCTCCCTACTTTTATTCTTCCCTGAGGTTCTTCGAACCCACAAGAGCCTGTGACCCTTGGCCTTTTATTAATTGATATCTCCCTACTTTTATTCTTCCCTAATTTTATTCTCATTAGTTTTATTTCACAACAATTTGGTTACTTAATAGTTTAGATTATAATATTTAATTAGGAATAAATTGACTTGTTTCCCTGTGGTTCGACCTTACTTCTCTATCCACATTAGTTAGAGGACTTAGGTAATACTTTTGATTAGATGTTATGACTTTAGCCTGTCAGTGGGAAAATAGACTCCTCATTTGACAAAAATTGAAAATGGGGGCCTTCCCACCAATGCTACTTCTTTCCTATTTACTAGATGTATTTGGGGAGGTTAATCTGATTGGAAGCCTCCTAAAATTACCGTGGTCCTAATTTTCCCTAAAAGAAGAGTTGATACATGGGATAGAAATGTTCACAACGTCTTACAAAGAGACTTGACCACTGGTAGAACTAAATGGAAAGACCCAAATGAGAAGTGGTTATTAAAATCCGGTTCGAAATCCCTATAACAACCTGCTTAAAAAAAACATCAGACATTAAATGGGAAGCGGTTTGGGGTTGAACCGCTCCAAAAAATGTAATTGAAAGCAGTTCAAACAGTAAACCGCTTTGCATTTGCTAAAAAAACCCAAGCAATTCTCACACGTCCATGTTTGTCACGCCTCCTTATCCTTCTCTCTCCTCCTTCACCTCATTTCCCACGCCCTCCTTCTCTCCTCCCTCCCCTCATTTCATACGCCCTCTTCTCTCTCCTCTCTCCATTCTCACACCCTCCTTCTCTCTCCATCTGATCTCCTTCCCTCTCTCCTCTTCTCTCCTCTCCTCTCCTCTCCTCTCCGTCTAATATCCTTATCACCGACTATAGCTACACCGAGAGCGGCAACACCCACAACAACACAGCGAGCACCCCCACCGAGCACCACCGAGCAACACCAACAACACCACCGAGCACCCACCAACGTTTTTAGATCGAATTTTAATTAAGGTAAGAATTTAGATCTAATTCATCCTAATTTCGCAACACCACCAAGCACTTTGTTGCTTTTAATTTAAGATATGAAATTAAGTTAATTGTTGTTTGTTTTTTCAATTTATTGTTTAAATTAGCGCAACATAATCAAGCTAAGACCGTGATAGATCGCCATAATTCATCCTATCTATTTTTTTTCCTTTCAAATTTAAGATTTTAATTACTGGAATTTTTTTTCTTCAAAAGTTTGTGCGTGTTTGGCATAGATTTAAAATTTCAGATTTATATATTTTTTTACTTAATTTCATATCTCATTTTAATTGTATGCGCAGGTGGTTTAATCGGTGGTGCTCGTGGGTGGTGACTGCTAGAGAACGAGAGCAGCAACAAGTCTAACTGATTTTTTTTAAAAACAGTGTAGTTAATTTTATTATTAATTTTTTTAATACTGTTTTTTTGATGAAAATATAATATTACAACAATTAACTAATGAAAATATTAATGTTTATACATATGTTTTGTTTGTGTATCAATTTAAGCGGAAAAAAAAAAACCAATTTTTAAAAAATTTTTATAGCCATAATGGAAAGCGGTTTACCTCTAAATGGGAAGTGGTTTGAACAGTTTGCCATTTAAATTGGCAATGGGAAGCTCCCCAAGCCCATGCGGTTCAAAACCGCTTTAAAGCCCATGCGGTTCAAAACCCCTTTTTATTCGGGGGTTTGAACCGGTTGTATTTTTTTTTTTCTAGTAGTGGGCTCAACATATTTGGTAACATTGTATGTAGTCAGTCTGTTAATGACAATTGAAAATCTATCGGCAATTTTTTTTTAAAATAAGAGATTAATTATGCGGTTACATGTTCAATTTCATCTATGTTTCATAAATGAATATATGTTTATTTATTTTTTTATTTTATTTTTAAAGTATTTAGTTGTTGTAATAATTAAGAAAATCATTAAGATTTACGTATTTAAAAATTATCACCGAAACAAGCATTGACTTTTAACATTGTTGAGTAAATTAGTGTATTTATGTCAAAGAGATTAAACTAGTGTAATTAAACATAACGCCTTATAAAGATAATACAAATCAAATCATGTCATCAGGTAACGACACTTGGCGTTCCAAATTTAACGTTAATGTCGCGCCACGTTGGATAGATTTAAATATATTTCATAAGATAAATAAAAGTTAGTTTAGAATTCTATTTGGATAAAAATTTTAGGATAATATTGTTAGTTTAGAGTTTAATTTTTTATTATATACCAATATTTCAGATGTACAAACTGATTTATAACTGTATTAAAAAAAATTATTAGATTATAATTTTCAAAAATATCATATAAAATTATTTTTTAATATCATAATACTAATCGGTTAAAATATTATACTTCACAATTGATAGAATTTTATTACTATGTAGACCAGTCAATTAGGGTCGGATCATGAGTCATTTCGGATTGGGTCACTTTAGGTTACGAGTCAAAAAATGTTCAACCCTTGACCAAAGTTTTGGGTTCTGGTCAACCCAACGAGCTTTGAACATTTATTTATTTATTAATTTATTTTTTACTATTTTTTTTAATGTATTAAATCGAACATTTCCACCAACATTATATTAGTCATTACATGCTTATTAGATAGCAAATTGTCCCAAAATCACATCAATTCCTAACTTATTTTGCATCAATGATATATTTTAAACTTTGACTTATAGATTAAAACTTTTTCTTAAAATACAATAAACAACCCGGCATCGCACGGGGCACAAAACTAGTAACTAATATATAAAGCTAAACTTTTAGTTAGGGTACGAGACAACGACACTTGACATTCTAATTTTTCGCCAAGTGTCGTGCCACGTTAGATAGATTTAGATAGGCTTCATAGGATAAATATAGATTAAAATTTTATTTTCAATCAAGTTTGGATTGCATGTTAAGATAAAATTGCGATTTTAGAGATAATTATCAATAAAATAACAATATTTCATATGTACAAATTGAATTATAATTTCATTCATAAAAATATTAGATCAGATTATATTTCTCAATAATTTTCATATAAATTTATTTTTTATATCATAATATTTTTTGGAGCAAAGGAAGTAGTTCAAAACGTAAAACATCCATTTATAACATATTCCTATCAATTAAAATAATATACATTATAACCTAATATAATTTTATATTGTGTAGGCCTGTCAATCAGGGTCAGATTAGGAGTCATTTTGGATCGGGTCATTTCAAGTTACGGGTTAAGAAATGTTTAACCCTAGCCAAAAGTTTTGGATTAGGGTCAACCCAACAGGCTTTGAACAATTATTTATTTTTCCAAATTTTTAAATTTTTTTATGTGTTTTATCGAATATATTCACCTACATTATTATTAGTCATTATTAAAGGAGTTATGTCTTCGATAAGTGTAATTACTAGATATATCAAGGATCACTAATTATTGAGATAATAAGTTCGTTCTTTTAGACTCTTATTTAGATAATAATTGAGATAATAATTACTAGATATATCAAGGATCACTAATTATTGAGATAATAATTACTAGATATATCAAGGATTACTAATTAGACATGGACTCTTATTTAGAGAGGGGATTTATAAATAAGATCCATGACTCAAATTGACATAACAATTGACAAGTCAGTTAATTGTAATTCAAGCAACCAAGTCCCAAAACCCTAATCCTCTCTCTCTCCTCCCCTTGTTCGTATGGCCGGCCCTCCGTGGTGGTTTATTTGGTGGTTCGTGGTTGGTTTGTTGCTTTCTCTTCTCCGTAGAAGGTCAATTGAAGGGTTCAATTGCAACTAACTAGAATTAGTGGAGGTTTAATCCATGCTCGTGGACCAAGTAGAGGAATCACACCTGAGGTTCTTTGTCTCCCTTGTTCTTGCTCGATCATACGTGGAATCAAGCTTCAAAGGTATAATTAATTATTCTTTATGTGTTGTGCATTGATCTTGGTTATTAGATACTTATGAATATGATTCATGAAATTTCACTTAGAGTATCTAAATCCCTACATTGGTATCAGTTTTCCTATGCATGTACATATATTGAATAATAATTCTTTAAAAGTCCACAATTTTAATCCAATTAGGAGGGAGAATAATTTAATTATGAGTCAATTATTATTTTAAATGTGATTTAACATATAGAATTATTAAAGTTGTTTAATTTACTCAAAAATTAGTCTTAAAAGATCCGAATTTTGGCCCAATGTGTTCGAAAATTTGAACCCCCCCAAACCCTAATTCGAATTTTTCAAAAACCCTAAACCCCAAATTGTGATTTTGTGTTTTGGTTTTGATTTAATTCGATAACCTATGTGATTTATGATTTTAATGTATTTGATTTCATGTTAAATTATGAATTTTTCATGATCAAATTATTTAATTTAAGAGTTAAATTGAATTGGGGATTAATTTCATGAAGGACCCTAATTTCAAGATTTAATAAGATTTAATTTTGAAATTAATTGGACCATATAAAATTAATTTAATTTTAACAAAAGAAATTATTTTGATTTAATTGAAATAGAAAAGGGGTTTTATGCGCGGCGCGACAAGGTGGCGCAGCCACAGCGGCTGCCGCTGCAGGTGGTCCAGAGGGAGGGGTGGGACGAGGCAGCAGGTCGGAAAGCAGGGGCATTAACAGCAACGCCACGCAACAATTGCGTATGCTGCTGCTGCACGTCGCTGCCTGCGGTAGCATACACCGTAAGGTGTACGGCCACCGTGGCTGGCTTTGGCTGGGCACACCACGGTGGCTGACGCAAAAATTATTTTATTTTTGATAAAATCAGGTTTTAAAATTAAAAAAAGGGATAAGTTTTGATTTTAAAAGATATTATCAAAATTAAAGTTGTTAATTTTGTTAAGTTAGGATAATTATTGAGCAAAAGATTCTATATGGATTATAATTGATTATATAATGAGATTATTCCATAATTATTTTAGGATAATAATTGATTTAATATTATGTGATTAGCAATTAGAATATAATGTCTTAAATTAGTTAGGATAATCATGGGAAATAAATATGATGTATCTTCCATAATTAAAGTAAGATTTGATTATATCCCATTCCTAAGATAGAATATATGAATAATACATGATATGCAGTAATTTAATTAAAATATGAGATATTTAGAGCCATGTTTCCTTAATTGTGAACATTAAATGCTGTAGTTTAAGAAAGTATGATGAGTGATTTATTATATGACATTTATAATATGTGATGTTATTTATTGCTATATATAGACTAGTATGGCCCATAGATTCTAAATACGATTTGCGCATCATTTATTTTTTTTGTAATCTAAATATGGTCTACGTACCGCTAAGTATTTTTGCAATTTATTTTATTTTATTTAAGTAGTAGATAGAATAGAATAGTATTACAGGGTTGCAGTTAATCCATGAAGTCAATGGAGTGAAGGCCCAAATGAGCTAGATGGATGAGATCTATGAAGGTTTAAGTGGGAGTTTTACTTTATTAGTTTTTAGGATTAAGAGGCCATACTATGTCATGTTTTAATTTATGCATTAGTAGATTATGCATGTTAGATATTATTGATGTTTGTGATGATGTGCTAGAATTCACTAAATAATCACAACATAATAAATCTAGGTCTCGGTAATATTGAGGTTGTTTTTCCAATTAAAAACCCAATAAACCTTCAATATTTATGATAGGTCATGCCAAAGCTGGGTGTCATTTTATATCTTGGGAGAGTTGGGGTAAATCAAGTTTTTCAATTTTAATTGGTTATACTCAACAAGGTTACCTATAGAGTTTAGAACCTTGAAGCAAAGGGTAATAATTAAACATGTGATGATTAATTATTCAACCAAGAGTTACAAGAGTAGTAATCAGTAGAGAGTTTACTCACCTTGAAAATGTAATGGTTGATGGTAGGGCCAAAGTCCGGTCAATTTTTGCACAAATAAAGTGTCTTGGAATCATTTAATTTAATTGGGATCAATTAATATTGAATAAAATGCTTTAAAGTTGCCTATATAAATAGACTAAATGTGCTTTAAATTTTATTAAACATAATTATTGAACTTTGCCTCGTTTTGATTTTGTAGATGAATAGCTTTGAAGACAACACTAATTTGCCAACCAAACTAAAAGCAAGGCTTAACCTCAGAAACTTCAGGGATTGGGAAGAAGAGATAAGAAATGTTCTTAGGAGCCACAAACTTAAGGCTCGACTCTATGTTCTCATTGAGAGCAGATTCACAGTTGGTTTCACTTCTGATAGACATTCGAAAGATGTTTCGGATGCAAAGAAAATCAAGGAACTCATATTGGCATCTATTCTAACTTGTTGGAATAGAAGGTTCAAGGACTATGAGTTGACCAATCTACACAATTGTCTTCGTGCCATATGTCAAGGTGGCATTAGGGCATTAGGAAGTGGAGGCATCAACGATGAGAATGTTAGAGAGATAGTTAACTCGATCCCTCTAAT